TTCGCCCAAATCAGCGCTTAATAGACTTAATCATCGTTGAAGAATAGCCTCAGGCCGAATCTGTGATCTGTAGCCTTCAAAATCCAAAGAAAATGGCCTTTCGTCGCCCAAAAAATTACGAAAATGCCATCCGAAAATAAATTGGCCCAAATCGGTGCTTAATGGACTTAGCATCCGTGGAAAATAGGATCAATGGACTTCATTATCGGTGGAGAATAGCCCCGGTCTGGTTCCGTGATCTGCATCCTCCAGAATCGAAATAAAATGGCATTTCGGAAAAATCGCCCGAAATCTATGATGGTACCCCTTTGGAATCTGCAAAAAATTGACCCGGAATAAATTCTCCCAAATCAGCGCTTAATGTACTTAATCATCGTTGAAGATTAGTCTGAGGCCGAATGCGTGATCTGTAGCCTTCAAAATCATAAGAAAATGGCCTTTCGTCGCCTAAAAATTTACGAAAATGACATCTCAAAATAAATTGGACTAAATCGGTGCTTAATGGACTTATCATCTGTGGAGAATGGGATCAATAAACTTCATTATCTGTGGAGAATAGCCTTGGCGTGATTCCGTGATCTACTACCTCCATATACGAAAGAAAATGGCATTTCAGAAAAATCGCACGAAATCTGTCATGGTACCCCTTTGGAATCTGCCAAAAATGGATCCGAAATAAATTCGCCCAAATTAGAGCTTATTGGACTTAATCATCGTTGAAGTATAGACTCAAGGCGATTCTGTGATCTATAGCCTTCAAAATCCAATGAAAATGTCATTTCGTCGCCTAAAAAATTACGAAAATGTCATTCGGAAATAAATTGGCCCAAATCGGTGCTTAATGGACATATACTCCGTGGAGAATAGGATCAATAGACTTCATTATCGATGGAGAATAGTCTCGGCCTGATTCCGTGATCTGCATCCTCCAGAATCCAAAGAAAATGGCATTTGGGAAAAATATCCTGAAATCTGTGATGGTGCCCCTTTGGAATCTGCCCGGAATAAATTTGCTCAAATCGGCAATTAATGGACTTAATCATCGTTGAAGATTAGCCTCAAGCCGAATCCGTGATCTGTAGCCTTCAAAATCCAAAGAAAATGGCCTTTCGTCGCCTAAAAATTTACGAAAATGTCATCTGAGAATAAATTGGCCTAAATCGGTGATTAATGGACTTATCATCCGTGGAGAATAGGATTAATAGACTTCATTATCGGTGGAGAATAGACTCGGCCTGATTTCGTGATCTGCATCCTCAAGAATCGAAAGAAAATGGCATTTCGGAAAAATCGCCCGAAATCTGTGATGGTACCCCTTTGGAATCTGTCAAAAATTGACCCGGAATAAATTCGCCCAAATCGGCGGTTAATAGACTTAATCATCATTGAACAATAGCCTCTGGCCGAATCTGTGATCTGTAGCCTTTAAAATCCAAAGAAAATGGCATTTCGTCGCCCAAAAAATTACGAAAATGTCATCCGAAAATAAATTGGCACAAATCGGTGCTTAATGGACTTATCATCCGTGGAGAATAGAATCAATAGACTTCATTATTGGTGGAGAATAGCCTCGGCCTCATTCCGTGATCTGCATCCTCCGGAATAGAAAGAAAATGGTATTTACGAAAAATCTCACGAATCTGTGATGGTACCCCTTTGGAATCTGCCCAAAATTGACCCGGAATAAATTCGCCCAATTCGGTGCTTAATGGACTTAATCATCGTTGAAAATTAGCATCACTCCGAATCCGTGATCTGTAGCCTTCAAAATCAAAAGAAAATGGCCTTTCGTCGCTTAAAAAATTCCGAAAATGCCATCTCAAATTAATTGGCCTAAATCGGTGCTTAATGGACTTATCAAACATGGAGAATATGTTCAATAGACTTCATTATCGATGGAGAATAGCCTCGGCCTTATTCCACGATATGCAGCCTCCAGAGTCGAAGATAATGGAATTTCGGAAAATAGCCCGAAATCTGTGATGGTACCCCTTTGGAATCTGCCAAAAATTGACCCGGAATAAATTTGCCCAAATCGGCACTTAATGGACTTAATCATCGTTGAAGATTAGCCTCACGCCGAATCCGTGATCTGTAGCCTTCAAAATCCAAAGAAAATGGCATTTCGTCGCATAAAAAATTACGAAAATGTCATCTGAAAATAAATTGGCCTAAATCGGTGCTTAATGGACTTATTATTCGTGGAGAATATGATCAATAGACTTTATTATTGGTGGAGAATAGCGTCGGCCTGATTCCGTGATCTGCATCCTCCATAATCGAAAGAAAATGGCATTTCGGAAAAGTCGCCTGAAATCTGTGATGGTACCCCTTTGGAATCTGCCAAAAATTGACCCGGAATAAATTCGCCCAAATCAGCGCTTAATGGACTTAATCATCGGTGAAGATTAGCCTCAGGCCGAATCCGAGATCTGTAGCCTTCAAAATCCAAAGAAACTGGCCTTTCGTCGCCTAAAAAATTACGAAAATGCCATCTGAAAATAAATTGGCCTAAATCGGTGCTTTATGGACTTATCATCCGTGGAGAATGGGATCAATAGACTTCATTATCAGTGGAGAATAGCCTCGGCTTTATTCCATAATCTACTACCTCCAGAAACGAAAGAAAATGGCATTTCAAAAAAATCGCACGAAATCTGTGGTGGTACCACTTTGGAATCTGCCAAAAATGGACCTGGAATAAATTCGGCCAAATTGGTGCTTAATGGACTTAATCATCGTTGAAGAATAGACTCAGGTCGAATCTGTGATCTGTAGCCTTCAAAATCCAAAGAAAATGGCCTTTCGTCGCATAAAAATTTACGAAAATGTCATCTGAAAATAAATTGGCCTAAATTGGTGCTTAATGGACTTATCATCCATGGAGAATGGGATCAATAGACTGCATTATCGGTGGAGAATAGCCTCGGCGTGGTTCCATAATCAACTACCTCCGAAAACGAAAGAAAATGGCATTTCAGAAAAATCGCACGAAATCTGTGGTGGTACCCCTATGGAATCTGCCAAAAATGGATCCGGAATAAATTCGCCCAAATTGGCGCTTAATGGACTTAATCATCGTTGAAGAATAGACTCAGGCCGATTCCGTGATCTATAGCCTTCAACATCCAATGAAAATGGCATTTCGTCGCCTAAAAAATCACGAAAATGTTATCCGAAAATAAATTGGTCCAAATCAGTGCTTAATGGACTTATACTTAGTGGAGAATAGGATCAATAGACTTAATTATCGGTGGAGAAATGCCTCGGCCTGATTCCGTGATATGCATCCTCCAGAATCGAAAGAAAATGGCATTTCGGAAAAATAGCCCGAAATCTGTGATGGTACCCCTTTGGAATCTGCCAAAAATTGACCCGGAATAAATTTGCCCAAATCGGCACTTAATGGACTTAATCATCGTTGAAGATTAGCCTCACGCCGAATCCGTGATCGTTGAAGATTAGCCTCACGCCGAATCATCGTTGAAGATTAGCCTCACATCAACATGTGGGATTTACACGTCCGTGGGGTCCACGGATTTGGACCCTTAAAATCCATGGGCCCCACGGATTTGGTCTCCAAAAAAGGTACAAGCAAACAACGAATTGTACCTAAATCCTTGATAGTTGATTTTTTAGTACCAAATCCATGTACCAAATCCTAGAAGCAAACGACAACTTAGGGGTAGTTTGCTTCAAGGATTTGGTACATGGATTTGGTATAAAAAAACCAACTATCAAGGATTTAGGTACAATCCGTTGTTTGCTTGCACCTTTTTTGGAGACCAAATCCGTGGGGTCCACGGATTTTAAGGGTCCAAATCCGTGGATCCCACGGACTTATAAATCCCACATGTTGATGTGGGATTTGGAATATGGCATAAATCCTTGATAAGATTTTACCCATATACCCTCATGCACTTTTAATATTCCAAGGTTGCCCTCAAATTTAACTATTATACATTATAATTAACAATAAATGAATAATATAAACGTTCAATTAATGTGCAAACATGAGTTAGATTTTTTATATCATTTCTTGTGTTCTAGTTTTCTTTGACCTTTTCATGGAACGTGTAATTCTTTGTTCTCCCGATTCTAATATATGTTGTTATATGTTACTTTTGAAAAGGAGGACAAAGAATTGGTAATTGATTATGTTACGTTAAAGTTAAAACGGAATTTTCTCGTTTATTATTATTGTCCATGTGGCAACATTATGCTTATTAGTATGTATTGTCCTTGTTTTGTGTACATATCATAAACATGTCAAACATATAGAAAATGATAGTAAGGTAATTTTGAAGTTTTGTCCTTGTTTTGTGTACATATCATAAACATGTCAAACATATAGAAAAGGGCAGTAATGTAATTTTTGACTTCAAGTAGCAAATCTCACACCTTTAAATCCATGATAAAAACATCCCAACAAACAAAGGATTGTTACAAATCCATGATGCCTCAAATCTTTGATAAATCCTTGGATTTTTAAATTACAAAACCCTCATTTTTAAATCCATGAAGCAAACAACCCTTACTTTTACCCTAATTAACCAATTAATTAACTACAGAAAATGCCATCCATTACTCTCCAAACCCAGCCCAACTCCACCCTTGACTCACCATAGCCCAATATCCCTCCCCCCAAAATGGCCCAAACACATTTATCTTCAAGGCCCAACCAGCCCGACACCATTTCCCGCCTTGGATTCCTTTCCGCCAACTGTCACGCACTCTCTCTTTCGGAAAACTAATAAGACCGTTGTTGTTCATATTACCGTTGCAGATTTCGCCCGTTGTGTTCTTCTTCACAAACGCATATTTATACAACCAAATCGACCAATTGCCACTCCCACCATCAATCCCCTTCTCCCTCTTCTTCTTCTTCTTCTTCTTCCTCCTCCACCCAATTTCAGTTCTTACTCATTACATCAAACCAGAAGAAGGAAATTTCAAATTTCCCCCAAAAGAAGAAGAAAGCGAAAACAGAGACAATCAAAATGGGGATCGGCAGCGTAACTCTGGGCTCCGGCGGCGCAACCAGCGACCGCCACTACAACGTCCACAAGGCCTTCCTCCTCTGCAACTACCTCCTCCTCGGCGCCGCATCGGCCTGCATCTTCCTCACCATCTCCCTCCGCCTCATCCCCTCCATCTGCGGATTCTTCCTCCTCCTCCTCCACGTCTTCACCATCGCCGGCGCCGTCGCCGGGTGTGCCGCGGCATCCTCCGGCGGCGCCTGGTACGCCACCCATATGGTGGCCACCGTCCTGACGGCGATCTTCCAGGGGTCGGTCTCTGTTCTGATTTTCACCAGAACAGGGGATTTCCTCGGGGAGCTGAAGTCGTACGTGAGGGAGGATGACGGCGCCGTCATCCTCAAGCTCGCCGGTGGTCTGTCGGCGTTCGTGTTCTGCTTCGAGTGGATTGTGCTGGTTCTGGCGTTTTTTCTCAAGTACTACGCTTACAAGGAAGGCGACGGTGGTTCTGCCGCCGGCGGGTTGAAGAGGGGGAACGCTAGGGTCCACCAGGGTGGAGATGAGGACTTGAAGAACTGGCCCTGGCCCTTCCAAGTCTGAACCAAAAGCTCACCAATTTTTTCTAAAAAAAGCCCACCATATGTTGCTATGAGCTTGTGATATCTCAATGTATTTGATTCCATTTGTTTGATTGATTATTTTCCATGTAATTGTGTTGTAATTTTAGGTAGACTGCTGATCTACGTGAAATGCTACTACTGCAATTGATATGAAATATTAGAAATTATCCTTATATTCCACACATTTTTTTCATTACGATTATCTGCAATGTGTTCGTTATTGTGACGAATTTTTCTTCATTACCGGGGGGGGGGGGGGAAACACATCCCAGTTAAAGGTACAACGTTCAACATGTTTCTCATTATATCTTTGAATGAGCCAAGCATCTCAAACTACATCCAATCTCACAATCAAACACATTCACAATCGAAATCATACGCATCAACCTCACCGTAAAATGATTTTCTCTAGTACTACTTATTTTTTTGTCGAGTATTTCAATAATTGGAACTCGGTTCCTTCAAATACTCCTTACTCCTAAAGCTGTCTAAAATATCAATATGTAACAATCTCAATTCAATGAAAAATACAACATTAAAAACTGAGGCAGGAAATTTATAGATAGATAGACTACTTATGAACGTATATGTATGTACCTTGTTCCGCTATCCATATACCTAAGTACGTAGCTTCTTAATAATGTTTTCGTATACAAAGTTGACGACTCTCACACATAAAACAAAAAAGGAAACAAACCTTCAAAATAATAGACATACAAAAAAGTAATACCAACTTGCCCATTTTGGACATTTACCTACAGTTGGGAATTACCCTCATCAAAGCTAACATTTTCATGGTTTGTATCCTTAGGGCGACTGGGACTTGGTTCCAATCTGGCTGCTACCGTACCCGCCAAAATCAGATCTTGGTATGTTGTGATGGTTATTCAATTCTACCTCCCCATTCTTATTACTGTTAATGTTACCATTGTTGCCACCTTCTGAACTTTCCTTGCCAGGAACTTCACCCCTGCTTTCGCTTCCAGCTACTGGCCCATCTTCAGCAGTCAGAGCCCTGTTTTTGAAGTTGTGGACAGAGTAGTGCTGAACTCTTCCGTTGGGGTCTTCTCCGAGCAAGGACGAAGACGCCATCTTTCTGCTCTTGATCTTCATCACGGTGGAGGCAGAAGCGGCACAACAAACGTGATGATTCATCAGCATAGAGACGATGAACAGTAACAGTAAACTAGGTGGGATTAGGAGCTTCATTTTGAGCTGAATTAAAGGGTATAGTGAGCTTTGAGATGGTGGGTTATGGAGACGGGAGAGGTATGATTTATATAGAGGGAGGAATATTCAAGTAATATGGTGGTGGGAGATGATTATGGAAGGGTTAGAAAAAATCTGATTATGGACTTTCCATTAGTGTCGTTGTCAAATCATTGCCAACCCTCCATTAGCGGCCAAGTGGGTGTTAAACTATCTTAATGGTATGTAATTAGTAGTTTTCTGATGACGGTTATTGCTGAGGTTTAAGTGATATTTTCTGTTTGGAGTGGGGAACAACACTTGAAAGATCTTAATGCTGCACTTTGTTGTGTCGACCAATGGGGTGTCAACACCTATAGCCAGCAGATATATGTAGCTCAGATTGTGGAAAAGTAGCTCATGTGTGACATTATTTGCGATCCTTATTTGTTTTGACAGTTGTTAAGTAGGACACAAATTAGATTTATACATTGTGGAAAAATCACACAAATAGACGATACTAAAGTAGTTGATCGTAATAATGTAAAACAACTTATATTGTCGATGATTTATTGAGAGCATTCATTCATTGTATCAGTTTTGAGATTGTGTTTTATGATCTTAAATTTGCATTAATGGAAAGACAATTGATTTTCTTATATATCTTCCTTCTTAATTCCAAGTCATTTAAAGCAACAAGATCTGAAAGGAAAACAAAAAATTTGATGGTTGACGAAGATGTGTGAGGATTGTCAACCATTGTCCATTGTCAACTAGCTTAAGTAAACTAGTAATTAAGAGAAATACAAAAGCTTCGTTAATAGACTTGCAGACGATTAATCTATTAATTAATTATGGATTAATAAGTTTTTGCTGGCACCCTATGCCCTACTCCACGCGTCTTTCTATACAGACAATAGTGCCAACTTGCAACGTTTATTTAGTGGGAAAGCGTGTTGTTTGGTAGACTCCTTTTTACTTTCGTAATGTCGTATTGAGAAAATCATTTCTTCCTTTGATCATGGCAGCAATCAGCAAATTTATGTTGTTGTTCGCCGGTAACCAAACCCTCTACTCAACAAAAATTATACCAAACACTAGCAAGCCAAACATGCCTTCCTAGACAACACCATGTTCCACCATTTCTAGCTTTGGTCTCGAGTTATGTGGTTAAGAGAATAACTCGTGTGACATTTGATCTACATCGTACTTGTTTGATTTGATTCTCATATCTTATCGTTCAAATAAGAGAAAGGGTAAAAAATAATGCTTTGAAAGTGTTAAGATTTTTTATTTTGTTTTATTTTAGTTGTATAATTTTGAGTGTAACTTATGTATAACAGAGCGTGTTAATGTATCACGTAAATAACTATACTATAGTGATAGACAGACGTTCGAAAGCAAGAAAGTTTTGTATCCAAATCTCTCTCGCAACATAAATAAATAACTTTGTGAGAATGTTGATCTAGATCCCGAGCCAGCCAGAAATTATCATAGGCTTCTCTAATAAAAAAATAGCTCTATCGCCGACAAATTGAACTCCTTCAAAATCTTTGTCACAAATATTGCACAACCAATGACATCATTGTTGCTAAGACCTCGTTTGATTCTTTTTCTTAAAGAGAAGGAAACAAAATGAGCATGTTCTAACCAAGATTTACTCGGTTTCATATAGAGACGATGATGGTTGTCAAAGAAATACCCAATTAACCAAAAGATCCAACAATTCGTCAATGCATGCTTCCACCAAACTTTAATTCTTCCAGAAAGAAAGCATAGAACAAAACAAACATTTGCTCTGTCACACCGTCCCTCTGACGAACTTCTACATCTTGGAAATGAATCATTAAAAAAACAAACTAAAAAGCAAACAAGGAAACTTCTTGGCACAAACATTTGCTCATATTAAGCTCTCCCTTCCATTATATATTCAACCACTCCACTCCCTTCATTTTGGAGTCCACCATTAGCCTTCCAAAATCCTCCCATATTCTTGCAAGAAAACATGAAGCTCCAACAACGAACAAGAAGCAAAAAATCCTCCTCTTCCTCCTCTACCTTCTGTCTAGCCTCTCTTCTTCTTCTTGCCCTTTACTCACAATCCTCATTTGCGCAGGAAGTCGGTAAGTAGATACTGTTTCATTCGTTCATACAAAAGATTCGAACTTTTAAGCTCAACGATTATCTCGAGAAGATCTGAGACTCATCTTTCCCTGACATTTTTGCAGAGGATGAGAGGGAGTTTGACTACATAAGAGGAAGCCAAAAGGGTCCTTCGAAATGGGGAGAGCTGAAGAAAGACTGGGAAGCTTGCAAAACAGGTCAACTCCAATCCCCAATCGACATGTCGGATCAAAGGGTGAAGTTACTCATCAGATCTCTGGACATCAACAGGAGTTACAAGCCTGCAAACGCCATTGTCAAGAACAGGGGACATGACATTTCGGTAAAGCCAAAAAGAACATCTCTTAAGAACCCATGATCCCAATGTTGATTTGGCTTCCAACCCATTTCTGGGAAGGTGGAAAAGATTGAGTCTTTGATGAAATTTGGGTTGTTTTCTTAAATTGTGGCAGCTCCAATGGAAAGGTTCGGATGCAGGGTCGATAAGGATCAATGGGACAGAGTATCTGCTCCAGCAATGCCACTGGCATTCTCCTTCCGAGCACACCGTCAATGGCAGGAGGTATTTACCGGTCTCGTGTTTGTATCCTCACAATATCTCGAATCAAATGATTGATTTAAGTATGGTCCATGGCAGTTACGATATGGAGCTCCATATGGTCCATTTAAATCCAGAGACGAAGGGGATTGCTGTTGTGGGTGTGCTGTATAAGGCTGGCAGCCCAGACCATTTCCTGTCCAAATTGATTAAGGACATTAAATCCATTGAGCACGACGAGATGGACAAGAACAAGAAGAAAGAGATTGAGAAGGAAATGGGTGTGATGGACCCTAGAGAGATCAAGATTGGAGGCAAGAAGTACTATAGATACATTGGCTCCCTCACTGTCCCACCATGCACAGAAGGAGTTGTTTGGACCATGAGCAGAAAGGTAATCATCAAAATTTCCTTCTATTGATCTACCATGATCAGAAAGGTTAATAATCCTTGGGGGGAAATCTTTTGTGGTGTACAGATAAGGACAGTTTCCAGAGACCAAATCAAAGCCCTTCGTGATGCAGTTCATGATGTAAGTTAGCTTAACTACATCTTTGACTTCAATAAATTGGTTACCTACAAGAAATAATTGTTTGATTTGAATTCTGATTTGACTGAATTTTTTGAATTGATTGTGGCAGTATGCAGAGCAAAATGCCAGGCCAGTTCAGCAACTCCATCAGAGAGAAGTAGAGCAATATGGACCAAACAGTGTCTGAGACTCCCAATTAATGTCACAGTTTTTCCCTTAGAAGCTTCTTCTGTTTTTGCTTGTGGGTTCCAGAAAGAAAATGTCATTTCCACCATATAGTATGGTTTTTCTCTGCTGTAATTCTCAAGTTCTGATCCTAAATAATCATTTATTCTTTTATTTGTTACATGCAAAGTCCAAAACCGAATCGAATTGGTATAGAACGAAACCGAAAATGAGCGAGAGAGACTGGCATCGAATGAAAATGCATTCATTTTGGTTCTGGTGTATTCTGAGTTCGATTTGTTAGCTGGGTTTTATGTTTCAAGGGATCAAATGAAGCAGCAACCACGGTACATTCAAGTGCCATGCAAAAAGAATGGCTGAAGAACTTCAACACTCCCATCACAAGCTTTTCTTCTCCCCCAAGATACAACAGTTGACAGAACATAAAGCACAAAGCTTTCTGGAAACTAAGCCTCGGGTCCTGGGGCAATGAATGCCTTCCGAAACAGGAATCCGAATGATGCTTGGGTATAGAAGAAGGATAGCACTTGTTGGTTCATTTCAATTTTCAATTCAGGCGACAACAAGGGAGGTGCGAAAGAAGCATATCAATGAGAGCCATTCATCTAACCATTTCCGGGATCCTCGATGAGCAAGATGCTGCTTTCGCTCCTGTCGTTTGCCTCGTGTTGTATGAATTGCACTTCAGGCACTTGTGTGCTAAGATGTGGAAGTTCACTTCTGAGGTTTCTCCACAATCATTGCAAAGGATCCACACCTGCATTAAGTTCATTGGAGAAAATCGTCCAAAATAAGCTAACAAACCCTATAAACTAAAACTGAAGCTTCTGTCTCTGATCTCTCACACTCATTCATAGACTCCTTACCAGCTTATTCTGATAAATTTGTGGCATAGGTGTTGAAGCAACCTGCATCAATTTGGTTCCACAGTACATAAACTAGTGAGGAGGGAAGAAACACAATTTTCACTCATACCAATGTTTCAATGATGCATTTGAATATATTTAGTGGCCATCAAGCTGTTGCTACAATTGGTGCTTGAGTAAATACCTCTTGATCAAGTTTCTTCCATGCTTGAGACATGTCACAATAGGACTTGGTGCAAACAGGACAAGAGTACCTACATAAACACACAGAAACGGTTTTTAAGTTCAGTTTAAGAAAACTGATAATGATTAGAGAGATATTAGATCAGTCTCAGCAGATCTGATATGCTTACTGAAAATATCTTTGCATCTGATTAAGGCATTCTAAATGGATAGTGTGTCCGCAGCGCAAGACTGTGATGTCTTTCGTAGTCTCAAACAGAAACTATGCCAAGAAAGCCCCAAGAAAAGGGAAGTCATTTTAAACAAAAGGTACCCAATGTGATACTAGTTATGGTATGTTCTAAGCTTATAAGTGTTACCTCAAAGCACACAGGGCAGTTATGGTGCATTGCTCTTTCGACGCAGTTGTGTGAATCCTTCAAACATGTTGAATAGCAACATCCTAAACATGCAAAACCGAAAAGGCGATCAGTCAAAAAACCAGAATCCCATATCTTCACGTGCGATATTTCCTTTATGTCAAGAATCTTACCGCATTTGTCACAGTGGAAAAAGTTCTCCTCCCCACCAGTTCTGCAACATAATGACAGACACAAACGCACCATGAGTAAAGAAAAGGAAAACTTGCATTGTCATAATCGAAGAAAAGAGGCGGTAAAGATAAATGTAGTAACCTGCAGATGCCACATTGGTTGCAGTGGTATTGCTGCTTTGAGACCTGGGGTAAAAAGAGCAGGTTGCATCGATAAAGGTACAAAAGATAGAGAATCAAATGGCGAACATATTTTTTTAGGGAACGAGGAGGCTTTACATCATCATCGAAGAACTTGCATTCGGAGCAGAAGTACTTCCCCATGCAAACTCCACATTTGAAGCAGTGCTGTTGAACCTATTACATCTAAAGAGAAATCAAGAAACTGGATGTGCATGCAGATATTGTAACTTTCACCATTGCTCAAGCAAAGGCACAAAGAACTTACATCTTGTTCTGTGTCACAAAGGGAGCAAATGACCTGTTACACACAACAAATCCAAGATGCCAGAAAGTGGATTAGTCCTTCATTGAAAGTGAACAAGATGCTATAAACCTTATCTAAAAAGAACTATTCCAATCTTTCTAATAAGGATTTCTCAACTTTGTCATAGACAAGGGACCTAGGTAGGACCAAACCATCACTTTCCAAGTCAAATCACACAGAAAAGTGGGGAATTCAAGCATTAATAGCAACCATTTTCTTGCTAACGAAAATCTAAGCTGCTAAAACCAAGAAAGACACAAGCTTTAATCGGAAAAAGGTAAGAGTAGAGTACTGGAGCAGAAAAAGGTATCAACTATCAACTAACCCGTTTCAGCTGGTGCCGAGGAATGTCATGACGGTCATGGCAATCAACTTCAATTGAGTTCTATGGATATCCGAAGAACATAGAAGAGATTTCACAGGGTTATGAAACAATCAAAAACCCAGAAACACAAACTGATTAAAAGAGAGAAAGAAAGAACCTTGGACTCGTTATGGCAATGCCGGCAATCAAATATCTCGTCGCAGCACGGCGCCCTGATCTTGCACCTCCTCTTGTAGTGCGAACACCTGATGAAGAAGAGAAAAAAAAACATCCCCAATTTTTATCCAGCAAAACTATACTGCATCAGACGAAAAATGAGTCTGAACGAATCAAATGCACGATCAAAATCATTATACCCGAAGTTCCCAATTCCCATATCCTGAAGAGGAGAAGAAGATTTCAATCCGAGCCCACCCTCTTCCATTCCTTATTTTCTCTCTTCAGCTGAAAATTTCCCAGGAACCAAACAGACAAATACAGAGAGAACCTCAGAAACTACACCTCTTCATTTATATATTGGTCCGCGAATCCTAGTGGGAAAGCAAGAACAAGTGGTAAAGAACATACGCCGGAGGTTAGTCGTATGAGACGGCGGAAACCACTTGGATAAATCAGTGGGGTTTTTTTTTTCTGCAAGTGGCTACTTCCGCCTCTCTCTGGCTGGAGCTGAGGAATGGAAACGAAGAAAAACTGAGAAAGGAAGAAGAAGGGAAAAAATCGCAAGTTACACATGTTTTTAAAAAAAATTCTCAAAATACAAACGTTATGAAAATAATTCCCAATCTATGTTAGTTTGGGCCATCACCGCTGTCGACGAAGACAGTGATTGCATCACCGCTGTCGACGAAGACAATGATTGCATCACTGCAGTACACGGCCGCGGTGAAGGCCTGACCTGCGTCGAAACTTTAAACCAACGTAACTTTGTGCTCGGTTATCCGATCGTAGCGAAATTTTTTTTGATTCCGCATAATTTTTCGAGATCTTGCAAGCCGTAAATTACCGTAGGCGGTTTGGTCCCGCCTTCGTCTCGAAAATATGTCGTTTGCTACCCCGAACGAGCCTTTTTTCGATTTCGTCAAACTTTGAACGACCATAACTTTGTGCTCCACAATCCGAAAATCATGATTTTGTTTTTATTTCGCATAACTTTTTAAGGACTACAATTTTTATCATAGACATATTTTCGGAATGTACTTGGATTCCTGAAAAGGAAGGTAAAGTTATTCCCAAAATCCCTTATATCCATAAATAATTCATTTTTTGAAAATTCTCTCCTACTTAATATTTTAGTCCTTAAAAATTTATGCGAAATCAAAAAAAAATTCATGATTTTCGGATTGTGGAGAACAAAGTTATGGTTGTTCAAAGTTTGACGAAATCGAAAAAAGGCTCGTTCGAAGTAGCAAACGACATATTTTCGAGACGAAGGCGGGACCAAACCGCCTACGGCAATTTGCGGCTTGCAAGATCTCGATAAATTATGCGGAATCAAAAAAAATTTCGCTACGATCGGATAACCGAGCACAAAGTTACGTTTGTTTAAAGTTTCGACGCAGGTCAGGCCTTCACCGCGGCCGTGTACTGCAGTGATGCAATCACTGTCTTCGTCGACAGCGGTGATGCAATCACTGTCTTCGTCGACAGCGGTGATGCAATCACTGTCTTCGTCGACAACAGTGATGCAATCACTGTCTTCGTCGACAGCGGTGATGGCCCAAACTAACGTAGATTGGGAATTATTTTCATAACTTGTGTATTTTGAGAATTTTTTTTAAAACCATGTGTAACTTGGGATTTTTTCCAAGAAGAAGAGGATCGGGGAAGCAAAAAAAAGTATCTAATCCCAATTATCGAGATTAATTAACAATTAATTACACAGTAATCAGCTTCTGAGATTTCGCTTTCTCAAAGATTATTTTCGATCTTATCCAAACTCGAATAGCGACACGCCACGTTTGCAGATCCCCCACTTGCCCGCCGTCCTAATCCTGTGATCAAAATCAAAACTGAGCACGAATTGGGCTGGGTCCCCACACTCCCGATTAACGGGCTGGGCTTTCTTTGGGCCTGGCCTCAATTATGAGCTTAAACATGGGCCGTGGTTCCAATAAGCAGACCACACAGCAGGAGAAGATCAAAAGCCTCAAAACAAAGGACAAGCAGAGCATCAAAAATTCACAAGAGTTCTTAAATGGTTTCACCAAAAAAGTACAGTTCTTGAATGGAGTTGGTTGGGGTTTTTTACTGGCTTCTTCTACCCCACACCACACCCACCAGAAATCTTTAGTAGCCATCACAAAGTGAATCAATGAAATGAGCACAGTTGATGCATCATCGTGTAAAGAGACCAACTGAAGTCGTTGCTGTTGGCCTCAGCTTTAGCCATGGTGCAGTAATAAGGTCCCAGTTATTGATTCTTACCCCATTCTAGCTACCCTTTCAACAATAACTTTGATTATTATGAATTCATGGGGTCCCAAGTACTACTCTCTCATTGCAGGTAAAAAAAAAAAAAGGGAGATGCATACCATAAGTACCAACTCTCTTGTGTTTCGAAGAGATTTTACTTTCTGTGTCTTTGGTTGATCACAGGATGGGGATGATCAAGAGGGAAAGGGAACAGACCAGCTTCTGTGGAGAAGAAGGAGGAACACAGCCGCTGCTCCTTCCTTCATCTTCTTCTCAGGATCATGATGTTGAAGGTGGTGATCGAAATGTCCCTCTCACTCCAACCTTTCTTCTCAGCATCTTCGCTGTTGCTTGTGGCAGCTTCTCCACTGGATGCACTGTGAGTGGACAATTCAGTGGTGGTGGGCATTCTGGTAGTTGATGACAATGCTGCAATGTTATGTATGATTCAACTACGGTTTGTCTGTTTGCCTGTGCAGATAGGATATACTTCTCCTGTTGAGTACCAGATCATTGAGGAATTGGGCATCTCAGTTGGACAGGTTAGTAACCCTTCCAGCAATTGACGAAACAAATTACTCAGTTAGGCAGACAGAGATCGATCTTTGCAGAATTTTTGTGCAGTACACGGTTTCGGGGTCAATGTTGGTTGTTGGAGGACTGGTGGGTTCTCTAGTTGGTGGGAAGATTACAGAACAAATTGGAAGGAAACGTGTAAGGATTCTTACCCGGAACGGGCACAAGTTTTTTTGGTTTTTGGTTTATGACAAGGAATCTGTAACAAGAACTGTTAATTTTGTGCAGACAATATTGGTTCTGGATGTACTGTTCATAGTTGGATGGTTGACTATTGCATCTGCAAAGGTCTTTTTTTCTACTTTTCAGTCATTGAGAGATTGCTTAATAGTTGCTTGCTCCTGAAGTCATGTGAGACTGTTATCTTGGATAGGGTCCTCTACAGCTTGACGTTGGCATGCTCTTGATTGGAATTGCAGCACCCATCAATCTTTATCTGGTAATAATATTTGTCTCAATTCTCACTAGTTTTTACGTGCATTCACCATCAATGGGAAGGATACAGAATAAATCCTTCTTTTTTTTGTGACCAATGATGAATGATTGATCGGATGGAAAGTTTCAGAAACCGGACTCTGATACCAATTACGATGCAAAATAGGTATCTACAATCCGCAATCTAACCCCTTAAGGATCGACCTGCCTCTTTCCTTTTCCTTTCCGGGGCAGTCCCCCATGTTTGTTGCAGAGATCACACCCAGCAACCTAAGGGGAGCAGCTGTCTCAGTCACTCAGCTGATAATGTTTTGCAGCGTTGCATTCGCATTCACTGTGGGTTCATTGATCAGCTGGCGTGCCTTGGCACTAATAGGTAGCTACAAGCTGGTATATGAATATGGAACTACGTTGAAGTTCTGGACTCATGGTTCTGGTTTTTTCCTTCATGCTTGTGCATTATTTCACAGGAGCAACTACATGTTTAGTGCAGCTGCTTTTTACTATATTCCTCATTCCTGAGTCTCCTAGGTGGTTGGTGAGTACATAAAACTAACCTTTATTTTGTGGGTTAATTACAATAATCTGGCTCTGTTGAATTGTAGGGTAATGTGTGAACAAATGGGTTGCAGGCTAAAATGGGTAAGGAAAAGGAGTTTGAAGCTGCATTGCTGCAGCTTAGAGGAGGAAATGCTGATATCTCTTGGGAAGTTGATGAAATTAAGGTAAATGGACTGTTTGTTTTTTTGGTAAATGCATAAAAAATTTAAGTTCCCATTCCATTTTCAGAAGTTAACTAAAATGAGGGTGATGATGATCCATCAGGAATATACCAAAACCATCCATAGCATCTCTAAGAACAGCAGCATCTTGGATATGTTCCAAAAACAATATGCAATTCCTTTGATAGTAAGCGCATTTTTTGAATCAAATGCAATAATTCTCTCTCTCTCTCTCTGGTTTTCTGCCTCTAATCACTTGGTCAATGATGGGCAGGTTGGCAATGGGTTACTGATGTTTCAGCAATTTTCAGGGGTGAACGCGTACACAATGTATACTGGTGCCATCTTTGTTTCTGCAGGTTTGAAGTTATAAGAAAAAGGCTTTCCTAGTTCATTGTGACATGACTTAGAATTCATGGAAAGTACAGTTCTTGTTTACTTCTTGGTGTTCCTCTTTATTGGCAGGAATCCCCAGCACTGCTGGGTTCCTGGCAGTGGCATCTTTCCAGGTTTCTTTAATTGAAATGACATCTCAGTTTTTCTCACCATATGATGTGGTAAAATGTTTACAAAAGGTTCAATTGTTAACCAATTATACAGGTCGTGGGAGCATTTTTGACAACAGCATTGCTGGATAGATGTGGCAGAAGACCTCTTTTACTGGTTAGCCACAAAGATATATGGTAGTGAGACCTCTTTTACAAGATAGCTACATCATTGGAAATCCTTAGCAGAAAATTTGTTCTTTCTTTTGATAAGGCTGGAGTTACTGGAACATGCCTTGGGGGATTGCTTACTACACTGTCATTCATCCTACAGGTTTTCACTGTTTTCTGTGGAGGATAATACCCCCCAAACCATTGCTTCTCTTCTAAGTTTGTTTCTTTTTCTTGCTGTGATTGATTCTTTAATGCCTTTTGGATTTCATACATGCTAGGGCTTTGAGGGGTGGAGTAGAGTGACTCCAACTTTGACACTCCTAGGTGTAATGGTAAATGAGATTACTTCCTTCCTTTGAGGAGATACTCTTTCTATCAAGAATAACTTCGTTCCCAAATTTCAAGATCAGAACCTCATTTTGGATCTATGTTATAGCATCATTACGAAATGACTTATCTTTATGTTTTCCCTACCTTCTTGGTGGCAGATATACTCGGGATCTTTTGCTGTCTGGAATGGAATTCCATGGATGATTATAGCAGAGGTAATTTGATAGAATATTTGCTTTAGGCGTCAGATGGAAGATTTTGGAAAGAGAAGAGAGGAAAGGAGATTAGTTTTAGAGACATAATGTTTTCTTACTGCTTATAATTTTCTCCTCCATAATTCCAGAAAATATAAAACCGACAATTCTCTTAAACTACACTTAAAGTTCCCAAACTCGTAATTTAAACAAAAATGAACTAACTGATTGTTTTTAACTTCAACTGTGAACAGATATTTCCTCTGAACATCAAAGGCTCTGCAGGGACTATGTGTTGTCTATCCTACAATATATCTGCACTCATGGTTTCATCCTCTTTCCAAACTTTGCTCCAATGGAGCCCTCCTGGTAAAGCTTTTCTTTAAAAAGTTTGGAATAACAATGTTGTATTTTTCAAGATATCGTTGTGAGTAACAATAATAATATGAATTGTCCATACAATTTTGAGAAATCTATGCATTCTCAAAATATATTTGTGCGCATGCATCACGAGTCGTATTTTCGAGCAAATTCCTGAAAATATTTCATTGTTGTTCGTTTGGCCAGGTACATTTTTTATCTATGCAAGTGCAAGTTTCATTGGAATAGTGTTTGTATCCAAGTTGGTTCCTGAAACTACAGGGAAAAGCCTTGAAGAACTCCAATCCACTTTCACCCACAAGTGAAACTACAAGGAAAATATTACTACTATATACTATTAAAAAAACCTGGTTGTTAGCTGAGTGTATTTACCGCAATAAGTTATTTATGTGTCTTTATAGTTCAATAATGACACATAAATATGTGTTACTTGCAACTGATAGTTTTGTTGTCAAATTCACTTTTCCAAGACTATTTTGTTGTCTTATATTCTCAATTTGGTGGCATAAGTACTTGTGTATTATGCTTGTAATTGTATTGTACCATTCTGGGGATTATTATATTAGCTTTCCGAATGGGGACAAACTATGTGTCTCTAATAGTTAAAAATTTATCGCTAATTTTACCTGCGAAGAAACAAACCTTGGACTCGTTTATGGCAATGCCTGCAATCAAAATATCTCGTCACAGCTCGACGCCCTGATCTTTCACCTTACTTACTGATCACGTTAGCTAGAAAACAAGGGACAAGCAGCCATCAATGAGCTTTTTCAATGGAGTTGGTTGGGGTTCTTGCTGGCTTCTTCTCCTCCACACCTTGCACCAAAAATCTTTAGTAGCCATCAGCGAATAAAACCCTAAACCCCACACAGTGAAAAACAATGAAAAGACCACGTTCCCTGCATCGTGTAAACTAAAGTCCTCCTTCCATTTTCTTTTCAACCCACCATCTCCCTTTGATTTTCTCGGTACTCTGTAATGTCTTCTTCTAGCTCGCTGTCACAACTAACTTGGGTTTCCAAGAGACTGTACTTATAGCCATTTGGTTGATTACTGGATGGGGATGTTCAAGAAGCAGAAGAAGGAAATGGAAGAGACCAGCTGCTGCGGAGGAGAAGAAGAAGGAAGAACACAGCCTCTGCTCCTTAGTCCTTCATCTTCTTCTCAGGATCATGATGGTCGAGATGTCCCTCTCACTCCAACCTTTCTTCTCAGCATCTTCGCTGTTGCTTGTGGCAGCTTCTCCACTGGGTGCACTGTGAGTGTCCAAATTCAGTGGTGGTGGGCATTTTGGATAGTTGATTCCAATGCTGCAATGTTATGTAAGATCTAATGTCTGTTTGCCTGTGCAGATAGGATATACATCTCCTGCTGAGTACCAGATCATAGAGGAATTGGGTATCTCAGCTGTAGAGGTTAGTAATTAACGAAACAAATTGCTCAGCTAGGCAGAGAGAGAGAGAGATCTTTACTGCAGAATTTTTGTGCAGTACTCGGTTTCTGGGTCAATGATGGTTGTTGGAGGACTGATGGGTTCTCTAGTAGGTGGGAAGATTACAGAACACATTGGAAGGAAACGTGTAAGGATTATTGCCCGGAATTTGACACATAACTTTTTGGTTTATGACAAGGAATCTGTAACAAGAAGTACTGTTAACTTTGTGCAGACAATGTTGGTTCTGGATGTACTGTTCATAGTTGGATGGTTGACAATTGCATCTGCAAAGGTCTTTTTCCTTCTTCTTCTTTCTGTTGTGTAGTTCTTGAGAGATTGCTTAATAAGTTGCTTGCTCCTGAAGCTATGTGAGGTTGTTATCTTGAATAGGGTGCTCTACAGCTTGACCTTGGGATGCTCTTGATTGGAATTGCATCACCCATCAATCTTTATCTGGTAATAATTTTGGTCTCAAAATCCTTCTCGATCATTCACCATCGATCCATGCGATGGATAATCCGAAATTTTTTCTCTCTGTGACCAATGATGAACGATTGATCGGATTGAAAGTTCCGTAATCTAACTTCTCAAGGATCGTCCTATCCTTTTGTTTTCTGGGATAGTCCCCTATTTATGTTGCAGAGATCACACCCAGCAACCTAAGGGGAGCAGCTGTCTCAGTGTCTCAGCTGATAATGTTTTGCTGCATTGCATTCACATTCGTTGTGGGTTCATTAATCAGCTGGCGTGTCTTGGCACTAATAGGTAGCTACAAGCTGCTGTATGAAATATGGAACTACATTGAAGTTCTGGAATCATGGTTCTGGTTTTCTTCTTCATGCTTGTGCATTACTTCTCAGGAGCAACTCCATCTTTAGTGCAGATGCTTCTTACTATATTCTTCATTCCTGAGTCTCCTCGATGGTTGGTGAGTACATAAAACTAACATTTATTTTGTGGGTTAATTGCAATAAACCGGCTTCGTTGAATTGTTGGGTAGTGATTGAACACATGGGTTGCAGGCTAAAACAGGTAAGGAAAAGGAGTTTGAAGCTGCCCTGCAGCAACTTAGAGGAGGAAATGCTGATATATCTTCGGAAGTTAATGAAATCAAGGTAAATGGACTGTTTGTTTTTTGGTAAATGCATAACAAAGTTAAGTTCCAGTTCCATTTTCAGAAGATAACTAAAATGAGGGTGATGATGATCCATCAGGAATATATGGAAACCATCCATAACATCTCTAAGAACAGCAGCATCTTGGATATGTTCCAAAAACAGTATGCAATTCCTTTGATAGTAAGCCCGCTTTCTTGAATCAAACTCAAGAACTCTCTCTTTCGTTTTCTGCCTCTGATCACTTGGTGGATGATGAGCAGGTTGGAAATGGGTTACTGGTGCTGCAGCAAGTCTCAGGGATGAACTCATACGTAATGTATACTGATGCCATCTTTGTTTCTGCAGGTTAGATATTCAAGTAAAGAAAGAAATGGCTTCCTAAATTCATTGTGACATTGACTCAGAATTCATGGAAAGTAAAAGTTCCTGCTTACATTTTGGTGTTCCTCTTCATTGGCAGGAATCTCTAGCACTGTTGGGTTCTTGGCAGTGGCATCTTTCCAGGTTTCTTTAAATGAAATGAAATCTCAACTTTGCTCGCCATTTTTAATATGATGTGTTGAAATGTCTGCAAAGGGTTCAATTCTGTTTCCTTGTTTTTCAATTATGCAGCTTCTAGGAGCATTTTTGGCAGCTGTATTGATGGATAGATGTGGCAGAAGACCTCTTTTACTGGTTAGCCACAAAGATATATGGTAGAAAGACCTCTTTTACATGATTGGAAATCCTTAGCAGAAATTTTTGGTTTCTTTTGACAAGGCTGGAGTTATTGGAACATGCATTGGGAGCTTGCTTACTGCACTGTCATTCATCCTACAGGTTTTCACTGTTTTCTGTGGATGATAGATTCCTTCTCTTCAAAATTTGTTACTTTTTCTTGCTGAGATAGATTCCTCAATGTTTTTTTGGGATTTCATATATGCTAGGGCTTTGAGGGATGGAGTAGAGTGACTCCAAATTTGGCACTCCTAAGTGTAATGGTAAAAACACTTATGAGATTCCTTCCTTCCTTCCTATGAACACACACGGCGAAACTCTTTCTATCAAGCATAACTGGGTTCATAAGTTTCAAATTAGGAATCTCATTTAGGAATCAACACAAATTAAAGAGACTTTATATCTTTTTTCTATCTTTTTTGGTGGCAGATATTCTTGGGCTCTATTGCCATCTGGAATGGAATTCCATGGATGATTATAGCAGAGGTAATTTGATAGAAGAATTAGAGGTAGATTTTCTTAAATCGAAATAAACTAACAATTTTGATTTAACTTTGGTTGTGGTCAGATATTTCCTTTGAACATCAAAGGTTCAGCAGGGACAATGTGTTGTCTATCCTACAACTTATCTTCACTCATGGTTTCATCCTCTTTCCAGTCTTTACTCCAATGGAGCCGTCCAGGTAAACCTTTCCTTAAAAAAATGTGTGGATTTTACAGTGTCTTTTTTTAAGAAATCTATGCATTCTCAAACATTCATGTATACACATATAACGAGACATGTATTTTCGAGCATATTCCTGAAATATTTTTCGTTGTTTGCTCTTTTGTCCAGGTACATTTTTTATATATGCAGGTGTAAGTGTTGTGGCGATTGGGTTTATAACCAAATTGGTTCCTGAAACTAGAGGGAAAACGCTTGAAGAAATTCAATCATCTTTCACCCGCAAGTGAATGAAACACTCATTATAAAATAAAAGTGAATGAACACTCGAAATTTGAGGAAGAGATTATCGTGGTATGGATGAGCCACCCACCCTATGAGGTCACCCAGCTTTTGGTACCCCAAAATTTTTCTATTCTTTCATTGTCCCCTCGCCATTAAGCTTTGGATTCTCGTGGGATTAAGTGAATTGCTTGTTTTCGTCCCAGCTGTGAACTTTAGTTTCTGGTGGCGACATGCTATGCTTGATTGATAACTTCAAAACCCACATTATCCCGTGTGTTTGTCTATTATTAAATGTATGAATGATTCCATTAAAACTAGTTGATACAAATTAGTGGTATCCACATCTCAACAACCAGCTAAGTTACAGTATCATAATTCATCGCCTGACACAGATATACGCAAAGTTCGTACTCATAACTCATAACGATACAGACCCTAATTCTGTATCATTTTGTATCTAACGGTGATTTGGTGGCATTCATTCAAAATTATCCAAAGTGACCCGACCCATTTTCGGGTTACATACCTCGATCGTGACTTGTCCATGTGAAACATGATGGCCTTATTTTGGTGGCCACATAAGTCTCTATCCTTTCCTTCCCCAACTGAATATGGCGAATACTTTGCATTATCTTCCCCTTCCTTGTTTCTGGCGCAGAAGTAGAACAGTTAGCGTATTTATTTGGAACCGCTGGCCGTACGTGAGCCCACTGTCTGACCCATACCGGCGGGCCGGGCCGGGCCGGGCCCGACCCTTTCTCGTGGGCCCTCGAACCCACTTTCCTGCTTTGGACGGTGATGCCGACAACGACTCCCGGGAAATTAATCGTGTGGACGATGCTCCTGCCACGTTGCGGCGTCTCATTGGATAGCGAAGAGCAGAAGAGAAAACGAAAGATGATTGAAAATGATAGCCGGCCGTTTGCCTTGTGATGCCCAGAATATTGTTCTTTCCTTCTCAACTAATCTTATAAATCGATACCCCAAAACTCTCTTTGGTTGATACAGAAAATGCATCATTCATGAAGAAGGGAAAAAGAAGAGCCCAAACCCTATTATCAAACCAGTCGGCAAAGGAAACAAGCTAGTGTACGTACGGTGTTCTCAGTTTCTATGTAGGTCACTATTAGGTTATAGTACTGTTCATACACTGCATATATAGGAAGGACAAAACCGTGTAAGTCCTCGAGGAGAGTGTAGATATCGGATTTTGCAAAAGCGTATCACACGGGTGGTCATATCGGAACAATCGTTGAGTTGAGTGCAGGTCAAATAAGTAGGCAGTTTGAACTATGCTTAAACTACAAATTAAGCACATGAAATATCCTGTTGTTGACTTTTTCGGAACAACTTTCGATACGATTTTACAATCTTTGATATATATCAATGTTCGAGAAGACGATAGGTGTAAGGCGGGCGGATCAGCCTAGACATCGCATAAGCATGCCCGGGCGCTAGAAGCAAAAAATAGCAACGATGACTAAATGATTTTAATGAAACAGTTGCTTATAGTACTTATAGTTTAGTTCAAATGATAAATAAGTGACTTAGCACTTAACAATAGGAAAAAAGCAACTCACACGGTTTCATAGAATCATAGCTCTAACAGCTCATAAACAGCTTCTTGACATGTTGAAAAGATTGAGAGAAAATTGCTACCTTGTTTTATAACTAGGTTGTATTTTGCCACCTTGTTTGGGATTCCTGAGTAGACATGGAATTGCTAGACAAGACGTTTTAGCATTACCTAGTACGTAGATGTGTCTAAACGTAAGTTTAAACCGTGTATTTTTGAACCATGATACATATAAACCGCCAAACATATATGTATGATCCTTTCGACCAACCGAAGGGACCCTAACCAAGGGCATAATTCGAGGGGAAAACTGAAAAGGGGCTCAGTGTTTAGGACAGAGTGGAGAATCAATGGGGTCCAGCCAGCCATGTAGCCCTAACGGTTTATCGTCTTGTGGAGGGCATTATTATTGTTATGGTCCAGAAGGTTCTAGGCTTCTAGCCTCACATGCGCTGCTTAGCTAGCTTGGGTTCAAGGCCTTCAATGTCGTAGTCAAATGATATACGATGACTGATGAGTTGCACCAAGAGAATCTTTTGTGGGTGGTACTGGTAGAGTTTAATTGTCTTCTCTAGGCTCTTCTTCCCTTTTGTGCTGCTGAAAGTTGTTTTGTATTCATCACTAGCCTTTCTATCTTTCCTTTTCTGGTGAGGATTTTCCGGTGAGCTTGGAGTGGACGGAGTCCGTAGTTATTATGTTACCCACCTAGGGTTATCACCACGTTATAACTTCTTCACATTCCTTACAAATGACATATTTATTGTAACAAGTATTTTCATCGATGAACACAGAAAAGTTCCAATCTCATGATCAATAGTTGTTGAATTCACCATGATTGATTTTAAGTTGGTTTATTTACATTGAAAATATACTCAATCTGTCACATATTATGTTTAAATTAAATATTTCTATACACGGGATTAATGTAAGAGTAAAAAGTTATAACATAGCATGAACGAAAAATGTATATCGAATACATTTATTCAACTAAGAGTGTAAACTCAACAACTTCCATGATGTGACCAAAACAAAAGTCATTTACACTTCAATCCGATTTTGTCTAATAATTAAGAAACATTATTATGCAATAGCTCTCAACTAAAGCTAATACCTCTATAGACACATCCACGTTTTAATTAGTATATCCTTATTCCAGCCGGACTACGTATTAAGATAATGATAATTCATGCTTACCTTCTTTAATAAACTTGAACCCGTTTTAGCCACGTAATTGCCTACTTTAGCCGCATTAACGCATTATTAGCTATATAATAATCGATGTGATTATGGACAAAGTGTAAAAACCGGTTATATGGGTGTCTCGAAAGGGATGGGAAATAGCATTGAAACTAAACTCTCTAAATCAAATTACGACTTCCCAATCACTCAGATCAAGCTAAATTGGAAAACATAATTTACCATTCAATCAAAGACGGGGAATAACCCAACACAAACCACACACCCTCCCTTTCATGAAGAAAACGGAATTTCCAAAAGCATGATTACAAATCCCAAATCCACCATTAAACTCCCCTCATAAACCAGAATCAAAGACAGATAAATACATCATGGAAATTCAGAAACCCCGCGCGCGACCCAATTCACTTCCCGTCACCGCCGTCTAGTAATCGGTGGTGGGCAGCTGCTCGTGGGTCCCGTAGCCGATGAAGATGACCTCGTAGATCACTCCGGCGAGTCCACCTCCGATGAGCGGTCCGACCCAGTACACCCAGTGGTTCTCCCAGCTCCAGCTGACCACAGCCGGTCCGAACGACACGGCCGGGTTCATGGACGCACCGTCGAAGGCCCCGCCGATCAAGATGTTGGCACCGACGATGAAACCGATGGCCAGTGGAGCAATGGTTCCCAAGCTTCCCTTCTTGGGGTCGACGGCCGTCGCGTAGACGGTGTACACTAGGCCGAACGTCATCACGATCTCCAAAACGACCGCCTGCCATACACCTACTCCCGCTGACAAGCCAAACGCCGCCGTTTCCTACACGCCACAAAAAAAACTCATTTTTTTACAACGGAAAGTTAAACCGAAAAAAGTAGTGGTTTATCATTCTACTGTTAACCGTTAAAAAGTAGTGGTTACATCTCACATAAAACCTACATGAAAGTTGGGAAAGGAAGTAGAAATAAAAATAAGTAACTGAGAATGGATGGTCTAAATTTATGTTAAATTTTTTTTTTTGTTAAAATAGCAGACTAGTTGATCAGTCAAATTGAGGTGATTCATCTGGTTTAGTTTCCTAATTGTCCAAACAAATGAATCGAACCATATCAGATTTGATGGTTCTATTCTACTGGTCCAACCGATTGGTTTCTTATGACAACGACAAAAAAGTAAACCATGGGTAAATGAATGGTATAAAAGTGGAAAGGTGTTTAGGGCTAATAAGTGAGCTTACGAGGCCGCCGGTGGCGAACTTGAGGAGCAAGCAGGCGACGGTGGAGCCGAGGAGCTGGGCGATCCAGTAGAGGATGCCGCGGAAGAGGGTGATGTTGCCGCCGAGGAAGGCGCCGAAGGTGACGGCGGGGTTGACGTGGCCGCCGGAGATGTTGGCGCCGACGGAGACGGCGACGAAGAGGGCGAAGGCGTGGGCGATGGAGGCGGCGATGAGGCCGGCGGGGGTGTTGGCGGCGCCGTCGGTGAGCTTGGAGAAGGCCATGCCGGAGCCCTCGCCGGCGAAGACGAAGATCAGGGTGGAGAAGAACTCGGCCAGGCCGGCCCTCAAGGCGTCGGGCTGGGTAGCCTCGCCGTAGTGGCCGACGGCTATGTTTCTGATCGGCATGGTGGTCGTTGACCGGCGAGTGGTGGTCGGAATTTGGCGGAGAGGGAGGTGGAGAGTGAAGAGTGGAAGGAAGAGTGTTGATTTAGCTGTGACTTATCTCCTCGTCTCACCCTCTCTACTTATACCATCAGCTTGCTACTCACGTAGACCGGCGTTAGCCGGTTCCCGGTCGTCACATTGTTGTTGGCATACATATTTTAATATATTTTGTTCAAGAGAAATAATAGATGATAAATAAATTATCTAGTGTATTGAAAAATATACTACATATATACTATCTAATTATGATGTATTCGAGTTTCAAACTGATAAGGTATTTCTTTTGTCCATGACCTGAATACGATAAAACTATGTGCTTCACAAATGTGGGGTCATCAGGATTCGAATAGAAGAGCCCTCGACTACGAAAGACTCTAATATCATGTTAAAAACAAATTGATCAGAATACCTCGAGTTATTGAGATATGTTTAAGAATAAATGTTATACTACTCACTGACATCATACTAACAAGATATGTTTAAGAATAAATGTTATACTACTCACTGACACCATACTAACAGTCGGATAGCCTTCATCAATACTATTAGTTAAACTTAATTCTATCATCAAAATATCATTTTATTAAAAATTCTACTATGGTTTCATAAAACATGGATTTTACTATTCAAGTTGGGATCGTTGACCATTTTACCTTGTAATAATTAGTTACCCAATTCCCCGGTAATTAAGCATCAATTTTATTTTGGTCTAAAGCCCCTATCCACCAGTCACGGGCTGTGTTTGGTACAGCGAAGCAATGGATACCAGGTGGGATGAAGACCAGACACGTGTAAGAAACGGATAGGATCACGTTAATGGATTGCTGACGTGGAGTATGTCTTCCTTGTGCTTCGTTTCTGGACAGATCCAGTACTTTCCATAATTCCCAGTTTCCTCTTACTCTCCATAACAGGTTAAAAATTTGTTACACATCAAATCCAACCCTAATCAAAATTCTCGAATGCAAAATACATGTAATTTGCTTTGTACAGAAGTGAACTCAAAACCTCCATCCACTTTGAGTTTCGACTCGTGCCTAATTATCTTTTGATAAATGACTCGCTCCTAATTATTACACTTCCACTTTTTGGAACTACTAGATTTTTTTTTTTTTTCCAATTTGCTACAAATGAAAGTAACCCATTTTAACTTTCTGATATAAAGAAACCGACCCAATTATACCATAAACGTATATCTAGCACAATAAGGTGTCATTCCCACGTAGAAATAAATTTTAATATTATTTACTCATGCATCTCATTTTGTTGTTTAATAACCGTCCATAATTGTGAGATTAGACGTCTTAATCATGATTTATATATGGCGATGGATGATATGTTTCAATATAGATAAGCTCACCATTTAATTTGCTTCGTAAGAACAATAAAACACTTCTTTAATTCTTGGTATGTATCTCTTAATTAGCTTAATAAAGCCTTCCAAAATTGGTTGTCATCGTCGAAAGTCCAAAACCCTACGATATGAACAAACTTTTCTTTGTTTATTTCAAAAGGGTCGGCCACGTTTTGTCTTGTAGATGGAATCCTTTTCAATAATTATATAGATAGATAGATAAACATAGTGATCATAAAATTGTATACCACTTCATCCCAAGGACTATTATATGGCTTACTGGCTTAGCCTACATTAGAAATAGAGGTAGCAATTGATTTTAATTATTGAAGAAATTAAAGTGATGGAAGCTGTATTTAGCCACTCGTTTGAATTAGTTTATGAATTATGAGTCAAGCTTAGCTGATGATGAGTGATCGAGCTGGCTATGGCGGATTGACGGAACATGTTTAATTTAAATTTTGTAAGCTTATGTAATGGGATCTTGTTCGTGGCCGAATCAAAGGGGAGCAATAATTAGAGACAGATGAAGTTCGTTGAATTTAGCCTGATTATTGAAGGCATGCATCCTCGATGAAGTTTTCTTAGGAAATGGAAAGGGAACAATAGAGCAATGAACATATGAGATTCAAAAATCTTGTCGATTATGTGTTATAAACCAACTGGTCTCAATAATTCGGTTTGTTGAGAGAGATTCATATATGAATTTTAACCACTTTCTTATATACTTGCTCAAATAAGAGTCCACTTATAAGGTTAAAGTTTACACAAGGCTACCATATATTAAGTATTTTTTAGACAACTTACGAAAAATTGTATTCGCATTTTAAAATGTACGTCTTTTTTCACAACAAATACCCTTTTAGTAGCATGTCAAACAAAAGTCTTGTTCGTAAATCGTAATTTGGCAAGTTAGATGTTCGGCGTGACATCGTCTCGTTGTTTTAGAATACATATTGGAGCGATCACAGACACATATATGCAACAACGATGCAGTAATTTCATTGACTTTATATGAAAGAGGTGGAAATGTCGATAAATATACGAATTATCTTGCAAGTGTAGAGAACAGTGTTGCTTTGTAAGACCATCTCCAACAACAAGGGCAAAAAGCCAAAATTGTCAAAAAACCTCCTCCAACAACAAAGTTAAAATGTCAAAAAGCCAAATATTGGGTATTTTCTGGCTAAATTTGGCTTAGAAACAGACAAAAAAATGGGTAAATCTCATACCCCACTATCCCTTTCGATTGACTCGCCGGACAAGCCAATTAAATCACACGCGCCCCACATTCCTCTTCCTTGTCTGTGCGTGAAGCAACTCCCTCCCTGGCAGCGGGTCTCCAACTTTGACATTGTTTTTTTTTAATACTTTAATTAAAAAACCCATGAACATGTAAACCCACCACGGTAAAGAAAAAACATGTAAACCCCCTTTGAAAACCCATAATTAATACAAAATCAATCTAATTAAGGGATTGTTTGCATCTCTTGTATGATCCACCAATTATTGTGCTTTCGTCGTTAATGATATCATATTTAATGATAATTTTTTATGTCAAAATTAAAAAAAATTATATCAAAATATTCGTTCTAATTAATTATTACTACCTGTATACAAAGAATCTACAAACTACCTAATTAAAATGATGAAATCTAAACTAATCTAGATTATCACAAAAATAGAAGGTTTGACATTTTGGCATTTTAGCATTCCTTGTTGAAGCAAAACCCACTTTTGAGTTACCAAAATGCTAAAACCCTTTAGCATTTTAGCATTTTCCCAATTTGTTGTTGGAGATGGTCTAATAATCAATCCATATCGATCGAGTTGTCCATAGTGACATACATCAACGAAATAAACAAACCTATCAGCTAATAATGAAGAGTACCAGCTGCCGTGTGGAACTACAACTCTCGTTAGAAATCACCGGCATGGCCATTCCAATCTGCAAAATATGTACAGAGCATCCATTAATGTGTATCTGTTCACTGATGTTAAAGGGCCTTAGCTCGCTTTCTGCTATGATCAAGTGAAAGAAGACTTTAGGGGAAAGTGTTACAGTTGTGGATTATTATTTTAATTAGATGTCCAAAAGTGGTAATATTTCAATTATTAAACAACTTTATCATCTTCTTCTTCCACGTCTTTTTCTGCTTGGATACGCGATCATCAAGCTGCAGAGAATATCCATCTCCTTTCGCCCACGATTTCGGGATTTTGGAATGGAGGGGATTCTGTACATAATTTGAATTTCTAAATCCTAGATCATTAATATTGTTATTGGATATTAGATTATTAGTAGTAACATGTCAAGTAGTCAAACAAGTTACTTTGCATTACCACCGACTAATACCTAAGATTTTGGTTATTACTCCTCCTAAACGAATGAAGTGAATACAAAACGAGTCATTAACATTACGTACACCCCTCCGTCTAAAAAAAAATTATAAACACGTTGCATCTCGTGTAAAAATTTGCGTAATCAGAAATTAGTTACAGGTTTGAATATCAAATAATGTGACTACTTGTATATGTTAACGATTTGGGATCATGGCTACTTTCAACAAGCAAAAACTTATATCAAAATTCGGTTCACGAATAGCCATCAAATTGCAAAATTTATTTTCAGCACTACCAATAAAAAAGAATGCAAGAAAGCTAGATAATCATACCAACAAATAGAAAAATTAATTGAACGTGACGAATGAGAATCATATAGCTCGAACGAAGAAGGAAGACGAAACATGAGATATAAAAATCGATAGCAGTCTATTACACTTAATTAATCACCATGTTATATATGTATACATCTAACCATTATGGAGTATGTGAATTTTACAATGGGGGACCGCATTCATCTACCGTATGAAAATTATGAGAGAAAAGGGCAAAGAGGAGGGGGTCCTCTCTCAATCGGTGGTCGGTGAGAAAAAAAAACTCAACAAGTAGTGGTAGGAGAGTCTAGGGATGGCAACAAAACCCGAACTCACGGGTACCCACTCGACCCAACCTGGTTAACGCGGGTAAAATTCGTGTTGACGGGTTTTGGGCCGGGTTTGGGTTTAAACCAGTTCACTATTCACCGGGTTGGGTTGGGTTTGGGTTTAGGTAAACCCGGCCCGTGGGTACCCGCCCACCCATATAATTATTTTTTTCGGTATATTTAATATTCTAAACAACTATTCTTATTTATGTTTGTGGAGACATGTCTAATTTTTTCTTTTTAATTGTGTAGAATGAAGTTGATGTTATGGAGTGGAGAGTAAAGAAACTTAATTGAAAGAAAGAAGCTTTCAATTAAACATGTTATTTATGGCTAATTTGTGATTTGCTTCAATTTTCTTGAGTTTTCTAGATTGGTGTTGAACAATTTGTATAGTTAATTTGTGATTTGCTTGAATTTTCTGGAATGGTGTTTTATATATGGATAATTTGTATTGAGAGATTGATATTTGACTTTAATTTGTGATTTGCTTCAATTTTCTTGAGTTTTCTAGATTGGTGTTGAACCATTTGTATAGTTAATTTGTGATTTGCTTGAATTTTTTAGAATGGTGTTTTATATATGGATAATTTGTATTGAGAGATTGATATTTGACTTTAATTTTGATAAGAACTTGTAATTGTAAATTTTTTACGACAAAACCCGTGGGTACCCATGAACCCGCGGATACCCAACGGGTTGTGTTGGGTTTGAGTTTTTCAAACCCAGTGGGTTTTACCCCGGGTTTTTTTCAAAGATAAACCCATGGGTTTGGGTTCGGGTTTGGCAAAAC